ACTTAACTCAAAAAAACGTCATTTATAGGAAATCTGTATATTTTCCACATGAAATGTCACTGAAACCAGCACTTTTCCTTTTTTTTTTTTTGAAATTGGCGCTTTCAGCTAGAAAAGCATTTAGCAGTGAGAGCCTGCAGCAGCTCCTGGGAAGATCTTGGGGGGCCCTCAGACTGGCTGGAGAATCTCAGACCTTCGTTGGAAGGATGAGAGTTAAACGAGGTGCGCCCACGCTTTACAGGATGGCCAGAGGGAGAGGGAAGCAGAATGGAATTATTGAATGGTTTGTAGGACTTTGCTTTGCAGGATATCAGAGCGCTCTCTACCTGAGGTCAGAAGTATCACCCTGCACTTTAGATCTTTTCTGCTGCAGGGACCCATCTGAGAGAGGGGGAGAGGGCAGCTTGGTGTGTAGGTGTCACTCAGCCGCTTATGTTTTTTGGCAAGAAGATGAAATCCTCTCAAAGCTGAACGCTAACCTGTGCACTGAACCTTCTCAGGAGCTTGTTTGCTCCTCAGGGAGACTGCACAAGGTCTATAGAAAACACATCTACTGGAAGATATTAAATGCACAGAAGCAACCCCTTGGTCAGGGTGGATGGTGGTTGTACTAAACAACCACTCCAGCGCTGAACTGGATCTCAGTTTTACCAATCTGTTGGCTTGAGTCCTCAAAAATGCACAGATAATCACTGCCAGCTTGAATGAAAATGTCCTAAATTGTTCCCAATTGCAGTACCAGGTACAGGAAGCAAATTTCTTTCCTGGCTGAGCAATGCCCGCTCCAGATTTGAGTTCCACAACGGTGCTGCTGAAGCACAAATGTCTTTTGAATCCTGCCTCCGCTGGCAAAAGCCAGCCGCGTGTGCTCTCAGCTGCTGTATGGAGTTACTGTCATCTTTAAACACCCAGGTTCATTCCAGAAGCTGGCCCTGGCTTGAAGAGGTAGGCATCATCACAGCCACCCCCGTGAGACATAAATGAAGCACCCAGGAAGGACAGCCGCGGGCGCTCAGACCCGCGGTGAATTTAGCATCACGTACAATTATGGTATGAATCCAAAAATAGCCTGAAGAGCGCTCGTCTGGCCCGAGCCTCCGGGAGAAGGGCAAAGGTTTTGCAGTGCCAGCTAACGTTCGTTTAAAATAGAAACAGCCTGCCCCGAGAGGGCCAGGAAAGCCCCCAACCCTGCCCGAAACATGAGGTGTCATGAGTGGGGAATGCAAGGCGGGCATCCCAGCCCCCCCCCGGAGCCACGCTCCTGCCCTCTGGCTAACCCTGGCGCTCTCCTCTCTCCACCTCCCCGGGGCTTGACTTCTCTTCCCTGGAGGCACGCAGAGCTCCCGACAAACCGTCTGTTAGAGCCCGACACCATCCTGAGGAGAAAAAGGAGGGGTTTTCCAAAAGCACAGGGGTTAATCACCCGCAGCCCTCATGCTGTTTCACTAAGGGAAGAAGGTTCCTCCTCTTCTGCACCTCTCTCTGATGTCTTAAGCAGCCAAGAGCAGAAAGCAGCTGCGTCTATATGGGCTTAAACAAAGGAATTAAGTTTAACATCTTAGGAATTAATCATTGCAACAGGACCCAGACCCAGGCAGGATTTGCATTTCTATCCCAGGCTTGGGCGGTGACTTTCAGGATGACAGAAAGACCCTTTCCCCGGGCCCCGTTTCAAATTCAGCAGTCCGGGTATTAATAGCGCATTGCCACGGAGGCACATAGCTTAGTACTGACTTCAAAACCCAGGGGAAGCTGAACAAGCACGCTCCGTCAGCACTCACACCTTGAGAAGGAGCAGAGCTCCCAGTTCAATCCAGTTGGCGGCCGGTCACGAGCGGTGTTCCCCAGGGCTCAGTTTTGGGGCCGGTCTTGTTCGAGATCTTTATCAATGATCTGGATGAGGGGAGGGAGTGCACCCTCAGTCAGGTTGCAGACGACACCAAGTTGGGCGGGAGTGTTGATCTGCTCGAGGGTAGGAAGGCTCTGCAGAGGGACCTGGACAGGCTGGATCGATGGGCCCAGGCCAACTGTATGAGGTTCAACAAGGCCAAGTGCCGGGTCCTGCACTTGGGCCACAACAACCCCATGCAG